AAAGATCTCGTGGCACTGAACTGAGGGGCTTGATATCATATTTTCAACAGGTAGTTATATGGTTGATTGTCTATCTATCATTTTAGAATTGTAGTACGTGAATGGCGTAGCAACATTCTAGAAGTAACTCTCAGCAAGTTCATTTTTAAGGTTCATTCAAACTTATAATAATGAGTGAATAACAGCATAAGCTTTCAGCTATAATATATTCAAATTAACTACTAATGAAATGAGTTATAATAATTTAATTATTTACCAGCTCATTTAGTCAACCTTCCACTCTTATAAAGTCAAGATTTTTGTTTTATTTTAAGATAACTAGTTACTAGACAATATTTAATTTTACCGAAAATTCTCATAGTAAGAATTTTTTAATAACTTAATAGACATTTTAAAAACATAATAATATTTACCATATAATATTTTCATAATGTTTTGTGAATTTTTGCATGTACTTTGTATTAAAGCTGGAAAGGTATGTTCGTTTATCTAACCGGCCCAAACTCGTCCAATAAAATATAAGACTCAAGCTTTAAATTTTTAAATTTAAATTTATTTACTCAAACGCAATTAAGTCTAATGCAGGTTAAGTCTAAAAATTTATAAAGAAAAAAATAGACTTTGTCAAACTTAAACACAATTTTAATAGAAAAAAAAACTTAAATACAATTTTTGTGAGTCCAAATTATATTTGATATAACATTAAAATCCATATTTTTGAACACTATTTTTTCTTTTAATAATTATTAATATTATCTGAGTCCTTTTCTAGACATTGAGTTACAATAAATATATCAAAATTTTGTGATTTTTTAACTAAAATGAGAAATCAAAACAGGTCATTATTTAAGACTTATTTTTTTATTATTAAATTTTATATTTTGACAATAATTGATCAATCTTTTTAACGCTTTTATATTATTATTATATGACCTTTATTCTAAAATTTTGTTACATTTTATGACTAATACACAAAGAATTAGGTGAGTTAAACAACCCAATTTACAAATATTGTTTTAAAAAAATTGAGAGATTTAATAATATCATCACAAAAGAAATAACTTTAGAAAAAAATGAAAAGTGAACTATTAAATGATATGTAATAAAAATTAGAAGAAAATTAAATAAAATAAAATAAAAATTAAAGGACTAAATTACTAATTTGATCAATTTTTTTATGAAGTTTTGTAATTTTTTTCAAGTTGTAACACGTGTTTATTTTCTATGTCATATTCATATATTTATTAATTAATAATTTGAATGAAGAAAAAATGTATCTTCTATAATTTATTTGATTAATATTTTTAATTTTAATATTAAATATAATAAATGTTTATACATCATCAGCCAAATAAATTTTGTTGGTTAAGATGAATTTTAAAAAATTATATATATATTTACCATTTAAATTAATTTATATAATATTTTAATTAAATCTTAAAAAATTAGAAATATATCTATGAATTGCACAATATTTTTAACACATCGGATTCAGTGAACATAATGTTTAAAATAAAAAAATAATATTTAGCAAAATTTTTTTTTGAAAAAAAGACATAATATAATATAAATAAATATGCTATTATCCCATCACACCTATTTGTAAAGCAGCCCTTGTAAAATAAAATTTATACTAAAAAAAAAAAAACTTATCATCATGTTAATTAACAAATGAGAAATGCTAGCAAAAATACTATTTATTTATTCATTTTAACACATTTTTAATTATTAATTACAAATATTTAAAAATAGTAAAAATTATGTAGATTTTTTTAAAATTTAATATTTTTTCATATATTTTTATAGTTTTGAATAAAATTTAGTCAAATATTAAAAATATATTCGTAAAAGTTAACAAATATAAAAAACAAAGAACATGTTGTTTATGCTATTTTGGCTCACAAGTTCCAACACTTTGACGAGTTTGAGAGTAGTGAGTTGAACTGTTGAAGTATCCAAAATTCAATACGTCAATTATAAAAAAAACTCTTTAGCTTATCATAGCTGCTGGGTTGACGTTTTGAAAGTTACTTGAGTTCGTCCCGCAAATTTAGCTCAATTATCGCATTAAGTTTTGCCACTCAACTTCCCAATTGTGTTCCTTCTTCCACATCAAACATAATACCAACATCTACTGTTCTACGTTTTCTTTCTTCTCTTTCCTTTTGTTTATTGTTTTTCTTAATACATTTCATGTCAGTACAAGGCTCCAGCATCATTGTTTTCAGAAAAAAGGTCCAAAATCTGGGGACATGATTTGCCCCAAGTTTAAGACACCCTTATTTTTATTGTCAAAATGTTATAAAAGCTTGAAAGGAAGCCAAAGTCACAAAAATAGCTCATCATTGAGCTTTAGAAAATTATGCGTGTGTCTCACTAAGTGCAGAAAAGCTGTACTTCTAATCTATTATTCATTTTCTTGCTCCCTAGAAAATCAAATTCATCTTTTTATATTTTGAAACAAGCTTTGTATCGATTTTTTAATATCTTTACTTTTGAATCATTATTTTATTATAAACATTTAGTGTGTTTGTGTACACAAAGCATGCAGGTAAGGTTGTTCATAAACAGGTTCACATTATATCACGTGGATTAACTGGCAGAAAAGTTAATAGTTTGAAAGTGAAGTACAATAGAAAAAGGATTAGTCTCGAAAGCTATTATTTTCTTAAAAGTTAAGACTAGACAAGATTGACACCCACATTTTCTATACCTATTTTTGTCCTAAATGGATTACCGACAGTATATACATTTTATTATCGCCCAACCTAAAAACGAGTGAAAAATCTCTCTATAATATCAAACATAAGATCACTAAGAAATTATGACCCGCAACGGAAACTGTGTACAAACAGGCCCTAATCCCTTTGGGCTGTTTTCGACTGCACAAATTTAGTACAAGGCCCAACAAAAGAAATTGGGCCTCTCTTTTCACACTCCCAACGATTTTTCAGAATATATTTTTCTTTTTTGATAATTACCAAGCATATGTTTCGGTACAATAATAAAAAAACAAAAAGATGAAAGGTTAAGTCTGAAATTAATTTTAAAAATTACATAAAAAGATTATTTTTCTTTTGTAATTTAGAGATTAAATTAACATATATTTATAATTTTAAAGATAAAACAAAGTATTACACAGTCTCTTCAAACGCTGCGGAATTTGTGATAATGAATAAATTAAAGAAAATCACATTAATTTCGTTTTGTTTTGCAAATCATTTTATTTCTCCTTCGAAATTATTGTTTCCAGAATTTCAGGTCGAGGACAAATATATATTTGCACGGAATTTAGTCTGAACATAAACCAGAGAACGTAGTCATTCAGGATATTACTAACCGCTTGAAAAACATATTTTTTTTAAGAAACAGAAAAAAAATGTATTATGAAACGATAAATACACCACTCCTTTCTATTTCAATCCATCACATTCCATTAATCTAAGCATAAGCTCAACTTCATACTATCTGTTACCACTTTCCTCATATGCACTAAACTAATTTTTTAGTGCATTTATATATAAAGTTTATATGCACTAAAATAAAATATATATCATAGTTAAGATAAAATAATTTTTTTAAAAGTTTATTTACGTGTTTGATAATAAAAGTATAAATTTTTTTTTATAGTTTATAAAATATATACCCTTTGTACCCATTTATCATCTCCCATTTTTTATATAGTTGAATTTTAATTAGTAAGAAACAAATATTTGAGGAGGGGAGCCCCACCAATATCCCTCCACCTTCAATCCGTTACTAATCACGTGTTTTTTTTTTATTGTACACAATATATTTTTAATATTTTCGTATTGAATTATTTTTTAAGATTATATATCTATTTTAACAAATATTTTTTATTTTCAATTAATATTTAAATTTCTTATATTTAAGTTAAATATAAGATAAAATTTATAAATTAATAAAAAAAAATTATCAATTAAATTAGTTTTAAATATTTTTTCAGAATTATTAATTTTGTATTTATCATCTTTTACATTTCACTTATATTTCAAAATACTCTTTTATGATACGAAATGTTTGTTAATTTAAAATAACAGTGGGATAAACAAATTTTCGATAATAAAGCTAGACTAATTTTATTGGAGTGGCGAAATTAATGCATAAAATATGTTCAAAGAAAATTTATATGTATGATGATAATAATCACTTAAAATTTTTAGTTTCAATAATTGCTTTAAAAAGTGGTTTCTATGAGTAGGGGTAATTATAGGTCCAATAGTCAACTAGGATCAAATAAATTCAATGAGTTTATTGAAGTAATTAGGTATAATCATTTTTGAAAATAGTAAATTATATCACTTTTGGGGTTAATAAGTAAATATATTTCAATACTATATTTAAATACTTTTAGTACTTATCTACATTTAAATTTATTAAACGAGCATTTGTCTTGTTCATTATGAGTATTTTTGCAAAGGCACTCAAGATATGGAGATCCGTTTTCATTCCTAAGTAAAGATACCACACCTGTGCAGTTCTTTATATCAGTAAGAGTCTATAATCATACTTAAAGAATTATATATTTTTATATCCAATATATATGAATATTCTATCATGAAAAATGTCCAAAATCTCCACGTATGGCAGAGTCAGAGACCATACTTTTACGTAAGAATATTTTGAAACGACAATCTTCACCTTCATTAATAACACCATTTCAGAAAATAGAATTCTCACACATAATACTCTTGGGAACATTTTTATCATAACTGAGAACCAAAAACTCCCCTTAATTATAATGACAAGAACAACCTGGATACAAAGAAACTGAAACACATGCAGTAATTATTATTATTTTGTTTTGTTGTTTTCCTAATCAAGTTAAGTTGCACAGTTCCACGCAATCCAAAAATTGTTGGGACATTTTGGCAAAGCATATAGAAGCTCATAAGGACACCAAAGGAAAACACAAAAGGGGAAGAAGCTTTACACTGTGGTATTGCTACCAAATCTACTTTAGACTGCTCATGAACCTATTACTCTACTTGTGTGCAGTTCCTGAAAAGGTCAATGCGGCGTTCTCCAAGCCGCAAAGAGTAGGTGACTTTCCTGTATTCAGCCCAAGTGAAGGGTTTGTAGAGGGAGGGCCTCTGTGGTGTAACCATAACTGAAGGAGCAACAATGCATGCATCAAGTGGTGGAGCCCCAAAGTATGCCACCGACATTCTACACTTGTATGCGTTGGTCACTGCCCTGTGTCTCACACTCACAAATCTTCCATTTGTCATAACCTTTATGAACACACAATATAAAATCAATCACTTCCCATTTTTGTACCATCTCTTACACACACAACCGAAAGCCTAATTCGTCACTAAGCCTTAATTATTCCACCAATCCCAAATGCCCCGCTATTAATTTTCATACCATCCAATTTCATATATGCTAAGACATACATAACAATATAACATGTTGGCTCCCATGTAAAACATGTTATGTCTATCTCTTTTTTCAATAAAATAAAAGCCATCACAACTCAGCATGTACGTACTCTTAGGTGTTATATATATATAATAAATATGTGCTGATCTATAAGTATTGCAGTAGTGACCCAGTAGTGATTTTCCCATGTCATTTCACTTTTCATATCAACCTGATGAAGCTATATATCTTTTAAGATATAAAAATTTTCTTTCCCAGCTTTCTCAGAGGCAAAACCAAGGCCCCCCCATCCCCTCCACATAGACCCTTTGTTGTGCTTAGGAAAATGAAACCAGGTTGTGGGGCTGAGAAAAACTAATGTGTAGGATAAGAACATATATACCTGTAAGAGATCACCCACATTAACACAGAAAGCTAAGGGGTCAGGGGTAACTGGGTTCCACACCCCATCTTGAAGAGAGATTTGGAGGCCACCCACATCGTTGGATCTGAGTATGGTAAGAATCTGAGGGTCAGAATGCTCCCCAAAGCCAACCTTGTTATGGCTGTGAGAAGGCGACTTGTCCTTATCTTTGCAGTCTTTGTTAAGTATAGGTGGGTAGTGATTGAACCTGAGCACTGAGTCACTATCAACCTCGCTGATCAACCTGCTGAATACCAATGTATCCGGGACCCCCAGACCCTCTGCCATTAGCTCCAATATCTCACATGCTAGCTCCCTAACAGCATCTCTGTATGCACTCACAGTAGAGCTGTCATGTACAATTACACTGTCACACACTCACATTCATAGCCTAAATCACATATATGCTCTTTATGCCCAAACTTCAAACCAATTACATTAATGAAGCTGCCAAATATTCACAAATAAGCCCAGTAATTAATGGTACGTCACACAAAATTAAACAATTAAAAAGAAAGTACCAATTTTTCATATTTATGTACATGTATCACAAGAGCCTCTTCACCTGTCCAATGCTAGCTAACAGTGAAGTGGAGATGACAGTGGTAGAACTAGGTGGGTTTTTGAACTGCATCATGGCAGTGGCATCAATCAATTCAATCTGGCTCTGGTTGACCGGACACTGTACTGCCACTACCTGCTACTTTATATTTCATTTCTGGTTTTGGTTATTTTGGTAAGAAAATTAATTAATAACGAACTTGTTCATAACATTTTGGGAATTTTATTTTCGACTCATTAAAGTTCAGCTTTTGGATTTGATTTGATTGGACGTTTTGATGTAGTTGTAGTATTTGAGATATATGTGTGTGTCAATCTGAAATCCAATCTTTTATCCAACGGTACTTTTTCTGATCTTTCCTATTTGATTTCCTCTTTTTCCCAAATTAATCATAACCATGAGTAAATAAATCACTAGAATGCACCACTGGATCAGTGTTGACATGACATGGACAGGAATGTCATTAATCTTTGAAGAGTTGAAAGTGGTAAAAGAGTCTCTGACATACAATCCCACCTCCTAGGAGTACCTACTCCTTTTCCATAGTCCCATGTGCATCATCAATGGTTTTAAAATCTCACGTGCACCCCGGATTTTTTCTTCAAGAATTTCTATTTTTTATATTTATTTTAACAATTAATAAAAAGATAAAAAAATTTGTAAAATAAAAGGAATGATGTGATACACACATAAAAATAATTATAATAAGTTATAAAGAATGTATATACAAGAATTAAAACTATTTTTCTTTTGTTTCTTTTCTTTTCTCCTTTTATACCTCATATATCTTTAACTCTTGAACCAAAGTTGCAAGGACTGAATCTTCTCAAAGGATCGATCTTCCGAGGACGAGGTCATATGTGTGGTCTATTTTATACAGTACGACACTTCAAAGCATATCAATGAACGTAGATTTTATTGCAATATGTGTCTTATATCAATAGGGATCTTTAAAGTTTTAAAATATATAAATACAAAATTTAACATTAATATCCTGTCAAATATAAATTTTAAATTGATTATTGAAAAGATCAATAAAGTTTATTGAAATAAAAATTTATAATTGAATGAATATATACAACTCTTTATACTCGTAATGTATCTTAATTAAATTCGAATATATTAACTTGTTGCATTATTATACTTACGTTTGTGTCTTATTTTTATATTTATACTTCTTAAACAAAATTTAAAGAGCATATTAATATATTTTTCAATTGAATATTAAGTACGCTGCGCATGCTCCTATTCTAATTTCGTTATTAACATTTTTTCCTTTGAGGGTAAAAAAAAAACTCATTAATTCATCTTTGCAAGATGGAAAACAGGCAAGTGGAACAGTAAGCACACAATAAATAGACAAAAGGATTAAAATAATGACATGTTTGGTTTATGTTTTTTTCTTATTTTTTTCAGAAAAATAATAATTTTAGACACTTTAAAATAAATAAACTCAGACATGCATTAATTCTCTTAACCTTTATTCATTGTTTTCATTTAAAATGTTTAATAAGTGTACTCAAACTTAACTAGATGATAGTATGTGATTATTATAAAAATATTTGACTTTCTTAATAACATATGGACATGGTGGGTTAACATTGTTATTATGAAGTTGTGGTTATTTATGTGAGATATAACTGTTATCCTAGACAACAATCTTTATTGGGCTATGGTTTAACTTGACCTTGATGACATTAATTAAGAGTTCCAAATAGAGCGAGTGACAAGCTGAAAATGAATCATAACGCAAATCTAAGGACCACTGGCAACATGGTGTTGTATAAAGAACGGTAGGCACAGTGCCATCACTCAAAGAAGCAATAACGTTGAAACTCTCAAACCACATTCTCTCTCCGTTCTTTGTTGGTCAGATACAACTCATAGGAAGGTACGTAGTGTCAAGAGAGACGTTATGATTATTCATAGTTGGGATACTCACCACTTAAGCTGGCAATAACTTACTAGCTAACATATATGGTCCATGCCAAAAAGAAAAAAAAATGCTAACAGTATGCTTATTTTTATGATTTTAATATAATATTTAGTAAAAAAATGTTATTTAATATTTTAATTGATAATTTTAAAAAAATTCTACGAATAAGAATTTTTGAAGTTATTCCCAAACCAACCTTGTTCTTCATTCTCTCTCTCACACCCATGTATATGTCTTATATGCATTTTAATGTTATGATTAATTATATAGTCAATTTTTTAATTTGTGCAAAATATAAGAATTTATATAAAAATATTAAAAATTATAAAATTTAGTACAATGCATTGATGTTGTCGAATATTATGATTTAAATTAAAAATTTTAATTTAATATTTTTTAGATTTAAAAATTGATCATTAGATAACAATAATAAGTATTAAATGAGAGATTTTAAATGCAAAACACTCTCTAAGAATAATTTAAAATTCAACAGTTTATTTTATAAAATAGTAATTTTTTTTGGGTATATTACACGACTACTACTAAATAAGTAAATTTTATAAATCAAATTTAACTAAGCAGAATAGTTGATACTTTTATCATCAATAATGAATATTTTATTTTATTACATATAAGTAAATTAGATAAATGATATTTAAGAACTGAAAATCTTTAAGAAACATCGTTTTTATTAATATTATGACATAGTATCTCAAAATTTAAAATAAGATTTAAATTATGACTGATTAATATTATAATAAATTAAAATTTAGTTATATAAAAAGAAAACGACGTTTTCAATTTGATATAATATAAAAAATTATAAATCTTAAATCAAATTAAATTAAAAAATTAAAAAATTGAATATAAAATTAAATGATTTCTTCATCTAAACTAGACGTACTTTTTATGAGGCAATTTTGCTAAGCCAAACACATCCAAATAATTATGTGCTGAGTTTTACGCATGAAATACTTTTTTATTCACAGTTCAAATTAGGAATAATGATTGAAAAGAATTTAGTATGCTTTACTTGAACTGACGACTATTGATTAAATAAAATTAAATATTTAATATATGAGAAATAAGATGGCTCCTAATTTTCCTAAGAACTCAATCTTATAAAATAAAGAAAAACACAGTTTATAATAAAATATTATCACATCGTTGAATGCATGTTGAGTGAGAAAAAGCTTGGGCTGTTGTTGTTGAATAATAATTAATGCACATTAATCTCCCTTGACATATATTCCAACAAAAAAATGGGGGACCGAAAAAGTTGAGTGTATGTCATGTGTAAAGTAACGTAGGGAAATATATTAGCCCCACATTATTTTTATTGAGAGGGTTATGTGTGAAGAGAGTTTTGTGCATCCATCATTATTCGTGTTCTACATATTCATGAGTCATGACCTTGTCACCCCCAAACTGTAATACTGCAGTTCTTGTCCATTGGCCACACCCATCATAAAAAGTGTCATGTAGCCAAAATAAAAATTCCAAAAAAAAAAAAAAGAAAGAAAAAAAGAGCCACACTCTATCACAAGATTAAGGAGTATTCTCTTGAATTGAACGAACCAAGACACAAAGGGAGAGAGAGAGAGAGAGAGAGATGATACAGTAAACCCAAACATGCAATAAATGTAAAAAGTATTGGACAATGACAGAAAGTACGTACGAATTATGACTGAGTGCACATACCTGAAGTTTGATGGTTCATTGGAGATGTTCATGAACTGAGCAATAGAAGCAGCATTGAGGAGAAGATACTCAACCTCACCCATGTCTCCATTGATCCCTATGTTTTTGAATCCATAATGATCAGGTGCATCCTGTTTCTTTTGGGCAAGTGGTTTTGCAAAGAAATCAAAACCCGCTTTTTCCATTTTGGCTATGGTGTCATGAGGAACACCATGGTTAATCACGTTGAAGAAACCATACTCCTCACTAGCTTTCACGATGAGTTTTATCACCGTCGATCTTTCTGCCGCTAAGTCCACCGTTGGAAGTTCAATGGGTAAAATCTCTTCACTCGTGATCGAGGCCACAACCATATCTGCTCCTAAGAGGTGTTGAAAGCAGAAAACTAATTAAGATGGTTAATGGGTTGGTAAATGGTGGGTTATTATTATATGAGAAAAGAAAATGAGAGAGAGAGAGAGAGTATGCCAAAGATGATCAAAGGAAGGAAGGTAGGGAATTCTAACAACTCTAATGGGGTATTTATAAAGAAGTTATGCTGCCAACGCATGAATTGTGAGTGAATGACATTGAATTCTTATGGTGCGTTTCACTTTTTTCTTCAGTGTAGGAATTGTAAATTTTCTTATTTTTTATTTCTACATTTTCTTTAATTGCTAGATGAAAAAAATATTAAATATGTTTGATAATTTTATTTAATATTTACTATACATAAGAATAAAATATTTATTAAAAAAATAAATACGACAATATAACAAAACTCTTTTCATTAATCACTTTAGTCTAATAAATGTTTTAGACTCTTAAAACAGTAATTTAATGATAAAATGCTTGGAAAATTTAATGTGCCGACGTATTTGTTTTTATAAGAACTAATTTAGTCTAATATAATTTTATTTAAGAATTAGTAAATGAGTTAAATAATTGATAAATTATTTGAGTTTGACGTTGATTCAGGTATATTTGCTTAATTAAATTAAAATTAGGCTTGATTATTGATTTAATTTTAATTTTTAAGTGTTATATTTTAAATCAACAATCATAATTTTTTACATAGATTTTTTTTTGGAAACTTACATAGATTATCATTTAGTATAAAAGCATTCGTTAAATATTAATTTAATAAAAAAATTATTGATAGAGCAATTTGATGCAGAAAAATTCAACACATTAATGAGTTAAGCCTAAATTTTAAATTTTTTTGTGATTTTAAATTTAAATTCTAAATATATTTTGTTTAAATAAAAATTAAGTTGAAATTTATTTACATTTTTACCTGTTAATGCCATGTAAATATTTTTTAAACTAAATTACAAATATTCAAAAAAATTATTAAAAATAACATGTATTAATTTTAAAAAAAAATCTGTGAGTGTAGTTTTTAGATTTTTAATTCTAGATAGTTTAAATATTTTGTAATTTTTCTTTTTCATTTATAAAAAAATATTTTTTTATAAAATAATTATTAAATTATAAAAGTTTTATTAAAGAGTAAACTTACAAATTTTAAAATATAAATAAAATATAAAGTATTTAAAAATTTTAAAAATTAAATACTTATTATGGTACTCGTAAACAAAAAATATTCTATACTTTTTTACATTAATAATTATAGTTTTTTAATATCTTAAAAATTAAAAAATATTAATATATTTTTTATAATTAAATTATTAATTTTATATTATTTATTAATATAATAATAATAATAATTTTATGTGTAAGAAAAATATTTTTTAATTAAATTAATAATTTTATTATAATTAATATAAAATTAAGTGTGATAATTTATTGTACGCGTAAGTAAAGTAATAAACTCTTTCAATTATGAAAAATAAAATAAATTTTATAAAAAAAATATCTTGTACCAAATAGCACGTAATTTTTATGGAAAAAGTTTTATGAAACGGTGGGGATGAAGATTTTTGTTATTTCCTATGCAGTGCGTCACATGAACGGATGCAATAAATTTACCCGCCCTATAATGTCTCCGTTTCTTTTTCTCTGCAATCCCCCAAAACCCACTCAATAAATCACTTAAGCAGTTTATTTAATATTTAAAATAAATTTGTACAAAAAATATTAAAAAACTATGCAGGTCAATTATATTGAACGCAAATGGATTCAATTATTTTTAAGTTTTAAGGTTTGGGGAAAGTTACTTTGTTAAGGAAAATATTAAAAATTATATGGAACATTAGTTTTTTTTTTTAAAATATAACCTCCGCCTTTATAACTAAAAATTGAGAATAAATAAATAAAAGTTGATTTTTATTAAAAAAAACTATTTATTATCTTAAACATATAAAAACATAATAAATATTACATCTTTAATAAAAATATGCCATCTATTAATACTTAAAATCAATCTTAAAAATTAAGTTAACAAAACCGTAATTTCAAAAACGAAGGTCTCCCTCATAATAAATATTACATTTTTTACCTATATAGCAAGTGGGCTAGCTAGCTTCTAAGTTGTAGAAACAATTGTGTTTGGGGTTGTTAAATTCAATTTTGTCCTTAAGATATAAGTCGCTAGTAGATATTAAAGCTTTGTTTTTACTAAATGCCAAAAAAAACATGGAGCTAAATTTTTTATTTATTTCAATACTCAATTTTTAAGAATTATAAATATATTTGTATCTTATCCTCTTTAAAATCATTAATTAAAAATTAATAAACAATAGTTTATTAAATATTACAAGTGTGAATGTAAAAAAAATATTGATTTTTAATTTTTTGTCACTAGTTAAAAAAATCGACATGTAATAAAAAAAAATTTAAAAATTTATATATAATATATTTTTAATTAAAATCTAATTAATGAATTGATGATATTAAATATAATAATTACGACTAAAAATATATTATTAATTAATTTTTATTATTTACATTTGAGAATACATTAAAAGAATGATTATAATAACTAGCTCAATTATGTGTGAATGCCCACACACGTGCACGTAGGTAACAAAATATGAAGAGAGTAATAATATAGATAGCTATAGCTTAAAGGTTGTCGTTGTTGAAATTGTGTTCGATAAATAATGCATGCGAAGGTTCAAATGAACTTGGCATTGTTAAGTTTGTTTTGTCAATAGAAACGTATGAACTGTTCTTATATTCATGTTGGGTAGTTTATTAGTATAGATTCATGAATATCAAGCGCGTAATTTTGTCAGGTAATTTCAGAGGTAATTTATAGCTAATAACCCATTATAAAGTGAAATTTCAATGAAATCAAATCATATCAAGGTGATACAAATAATTTCATTGTGTTCTGCTATAATGAAATAAAATTTATAGCTCTACCGATGTTAGATAAACTGTTGAGTGTGTATCCATCTTAAAGTTTTAGGAATTGGTGCATATTATTTGTCAAAGTCATAATGTTTTAATTTATTCAAAGTTGTCTGTCGTCTTTATTGAGATGCCATAATGTTATACAGGACAAACAGATTAATTAAGGCAACAAATTTTGATATTATTATAATCTCAACAAATAATAAGAACTAATTCATAATATTGTTTTCGTACAGATGAAAAGGTGAAACAATATATAAAAGGGCTGAGTTGCTTTCTAATTAACCCTTTTGAGTATTGACAACAATGAAAGAAATAAAATCATGTAACAGTATAAGTTTGATCAATTATCTAATAAAGTTACATGATGTTATTCACATTTATATAAAACTTAATAATAATAATAATAACAACAACAATAAATAGAAAATAATTTATCATAATTTACCCTAATTACTGATAAGATTTTTTACCATATCAAATGGAAACTTTATGAGAACACATCTCACAGTCTCGAGAATTATTTCACAATTTTCTCTAAATTTAAATATAACTATTAACAACAAAAGATCTGTGAAGGAATTATAGACAAGATACAATTTCACAATAAAAAAATCGCATGCTAAAAAGTGTTAGATGGGACTTCACAATAGCCAACGACATTTATATCTTCCATCCCTAATATTTAAAGCACTAATAATTGAGAGATTAGATATCCTTGATTGTTTCAAAATTAAACATTGTTGGCTTGAAGAATTTAAATGTTGGAGGCTGCATAAAAGAAAAGTTTTGATTATCTTTTGATCGCGTAAGAGTGTTCAGTATCACGATTTTTTCTTTCTTTCTTCTTTGTTTTAAGGATGTCACATCTACTTTTATATGCTAAGCATGGTACTCAAGAAATATTTGTTAGAGTTGACACATGCCTTGAACCACTTAAAGCATATGGTAAAAGCTTTGAGCAAGATGATCCATAAGTTTATTGGTCAAATGAAACTTAAATTATACTCTATCACTATATATTATCTATCTATTAGATCATTCTTTAGAAATCTCTCTTTCAACGTTGCAACTTTCCTAGAAGAATATCTTATCTTATCTTTTACAAAATTTGACCATCTATATATTTAAAAATATCAGTCACCTGCACACTTAACATACATGTTAACTTTCCTTCAGCATTCAATAAATCTATATTTATTATCTATTAAAATCAAGATATCAAATGAATTTAGACTTAACATATTAATAACTAAAACGTAAAGTCTTATTATGTAAAGACTAAAATAAAATAAAATAAAGTATCGAATATTGACACCAAAATTTTAATTTAAGCTTAATAAATATGATGAGGAAGATCCTATATTCTTGTTAACCATGACACTAATGAACAAATGTTGCGCGGATAAAATTCAAATATGCATTTTATGCAAGCATTATTAAGAAATGTGGTAGGTCGCTATTTGTATATGCTTGATTACGAGTCTTATATATATGCTTATTCATAAAGACAACTTGCTCTTCACTTCACTAAAAAACTTGGATTGCTAATAACCATACTCTTTTTCACATGTATTTTAATGTTGCTGATGCATTTGTAAATACATGTGTGACATGCTATTAGCCAACAAGAACTTTACCTTTTAAGATATATATATATACATATCTTATAAATATCAATAACTAATGTAACCCTAATGAATTATGTATTCATCTTAATCGTCATATACATATGTTAGATCAAGTACCTCTCACCATGTCAAAAATTATAACTGTTAAGTAGTCACATATTTATTTCCTTATCATGACAACACAATCCACACGTGCACTAGCAAATTAAACTAACAAGCACCTTCAATGTCTAAGTATAATTGCAGACCACCAATAAAATCAACACTTGATCAAGTGTAGAAAGTACGGTACATTTCAATCCTTATCGTCGAAAATTTACCATGCTAAACTTGTCAAAGATGTAACTAATGGCTTGTTTGGCATGCTTAGTATCAATTTTTAAATTACTGTTTTTAATTTATACATGTATAGTTTATATTTT